GTCCCGGTCCCGTACGGGCACGACACTGAGGGTTGCGATCCGTTGCCGGACACGAAAAAAGACAAAAAGGAAAAAAAAAAAAAGAATATTGAAAAAGTAATACATCATCAAGATCAGTTTATCCCAGGAATGCATGGATGGTTTAATATAATAAAATCCATGACTATAATTCATTACATAGGGGGAAAAATTCCACATTTAATAACATTTGGCACCCACTCATAGTAAAGCAGAATAGCATACTTCCCTACCCTGATAAATGGTATCTATCAAAAATCTACAACAGATACCATGCTTAATGGTGACAAGTTAGAAGCAGTCATTAACAAGGTAGAAAATATGGAGGAATAGGTCTGACAAAACTGCTGACAAAGTTAATCCCTGGCAGTTTTTATTTGCGGGAAACAGATGCCCTGAGAGGGGAAGTAACTTAAGGACACTAGTAAGTCAGAGGCAATTCTGGATTTTCAGTGGCACTAAATCCTGGAGATCTGATTGTTGGGTAATTTCAGTATTGTCTTCTTATAAAAAATAAAATTCATTGTATTTTTCTGATTATAAATTCCTTATCCATGTATTCTAGAAAATGCAGAAAATTCAGAAGAACACTAAGAAGTAAAAAGTGACTACCATTTCCATCCTATTATCTGGAGCATTATGATCAATCATTCGGTGTATTTCCTTCAAAATTTTTGTCTATGTAAATTTATGTATTTAAAAATAAAATTAGGATTATACCATGTATACTGTTTTGTGTACTGATTATTTTCACACACATTTCCCTGTATCCTTACCTAGTTGTTGTGACTATGATAACATAGCACTCAGTTATGTTCATGATGCATATATCATTTATTTAACTTACTAATCTGAGTTTTTGGAGAAAAATCAAATATATGACTGCAGTGATCATGATGATAAAAGTTCAACCACAGAGCCAGCTCACCCACATGCAGACACGAAACCCAGGTGAGTTTCTAAGGCCAGTGATTATCCTGGTGGAGAAGAAGAAATGGCAAAACCAAAGTCATATAACTGGTCCCACCTGGAAGGGGACAGAGATCTAGCTAGCAGGAAGTGAATGGGATTTGGAACGAGTACATGCATAGAGACCAATTAGCTCCAAGGCTTTAGGAAATTTCCCACCCTCTGCAGCCTTGCCTTCTTTGCTGGTGAAGTGGAAATAATACCTGCACCAGCCTCATCTAGGGCCGAGCTCCTTCAGGCCTCAGGGTATTTGCACAGGTCGTTCTGACTGCTGAAACTGGCTCGGCCCTCCTCTGCACCTGGCTGCCCGTGTTATTGAGCCTTCGGGCCTAGCTGTCCTTCACTGCCCTGCCCACCACGCCGGATGGGTGGCCCTGGGGGCTTCCTCTCTCATAGCCCTTATTTTACAGTGTGGTCTCCCTAACGGAGGGCAAGGCCAGGAGGGGCTCTGGCCACGGGAACGGTCTCCAGGTCTTCCTTGGCCACCACTTCTGAAGCAGGGGCCCTCTTCCCTTGTTCTCTATCTAAGTCCTCTAATCATGCCCCTCCCAGCACTTATGGTCATAAATTGTCATTATTTTGTCTACTAGCTGTTTCCTTGAGTCTTGTCTGTCTTCTGTCATTAGGACGCTCCTCCGTCTTGGTGGCTGCCGTACCCCGCAGGCCTGGCACATAGTAGGACGCCCATACAAGTTCGTGAAATGACTGAGGAGAAACAGCTGTAGAGACATCAGCACCCAGTATGCAGCCAAGAGCTGGCCTGGGGCTGGGCGAACCCCAGGCTGCGGGCGGAGGCAGGACGTAGGGGCGGGGTCTGGGCGGGGCCTCGGGGCGGAGCCTCAGGGAGGGACTGGGGCTTCGGGGCGGGGCTTCGGGGCTGCGGTAGAGCCGGCTTCTTCGCGCGGCTCTAGCTGTGCACGCTTTCTCCGGGCGA